TACCAAAATTCGACATCACAGAGTAACTTATCATACGATCCTGATAAATCATCAGAGTAAAACTCTGAGATTTTCTTATATCCTCTCGCGTTTCAAGTGTAATCAACAATTCAGACTCAATCAGCAAGAGAAAATAAAAGCTTGCTGTTTATCTTTATCAAATTATACGATTTTTTTTAAATTAAAAATTATAAAAAATGAATTAAAATTTTTAAAACTATCTAATTTGTTTAACAATATAAATCATATTATTAAATTTATAATTGTTTTTCAAAAAATATCTTTCGAGATATGCAGATCATATTTTTTCTCCATTCTCGCCTACTATGCCATAAAATATTTACAATTATTTTTATAGCCTCCCTTCCCCCTGTTATTTAAAATTTTAGATCATATAATTTTTAATTTAAACCATGTGATCATTTAAATTGAAAATTCTTATTTGTTTTTTTAAATATATTTTATTTTGATATCGTACATATTATTTTATTTCCGTTTTAGAATTATTCGCTATAAGAAAAAAAAAAATTTGGGTTAACTCCCCCCCCCCCCCACCTCTTTCCTTGCCATGTCTACGCTACTGTCCATTTCAAAAGTGTCATATCTCACTCGATTTAAGATTCATATTTTAGATATTTATTAAATTAACCAAATTTAAAATATTTGAAAATCTAATATTAAACATTATATGAAAATTTTTGGTAAAGAATGTCGAAAAAAAGAAAAATGGCCTTAAAATCATTTCAAATAAATATTATAAAAATCAGACACCTACAACCCGTGTTCGAAACCCAACCTAAAAAGAGTCCACGAAATTTTATGATTTAAAAAATTCGGGCTTGGCTTAAATTTTTTTTAAAGAATAAAAATCAGGACCGAGCTGAGTCAGGCTTAAAAATTTTTAAAAATCAAAATTCGAGCTGGGTCTATTAAAAAAATTTTTTTAATTTATCAATTAATCAGTTATAAAATTATATCATGGAGCGTTTAATATAGTGTTCTGATTTCGTAAAAGATCAATTAATTTTTCGTATTCCTATTTTTATATCTTTACCTATTTCCAATTCAATTTAAACACAGAATAGAATTAACAGTCATGATATAACCATTGTACATTTTGGAATCTGCTATTAATAATTTAAAATATAAATTTTTATTAGTGAGTAAAGATAAAGAGATTAAGATATCTAAACCCACTAAATAATGAATGAACAGAAAAATGCAAATTTACTTATCCGTAGTTTTTTGAAAAATTTTGAAAACACTGCTGCAAACAATATAAAACTTTATAAACCATTTTTATAGTTACTTGGATAAAGTTAACTTTCTTTATTTAAATGAAGTTGAAAGTTCATCAAAGAAACTATTTGACGTAATGGTAAATAATTATTCGGTTGTAGTTTACCTTATAGAGTTATATCTTCGCTTTATTAATAACTAAATTTTATTTACTCTCTCTAATATAAAGTTAACTTCAAAAAAAAAAATTAATAATTTTATTTAAGAAATACCTTTTTTATTAAAAAAATTATTTTCTATATTTTAAGTTACTCAAAAATACAATAATTGCAACAAAGATTATTTGAATTTAACTATTTATAATATGCATTATATTATTTAAGAATTTCCATTCTAAAAAATTGTCACTAATAAAATTAACATCATATCCAAAAAATTGGATGTGATATAAGAAAAGAATCATTTTTTAAATATTTCTTTATATTCTTCACTTGAAAGGGGATATCAATGGCAAATTATTTAATTCTTTAAACAACCACTCATTACACAATAACAATTAACTATATGAATAATTAATTCCTGTATGAAAGGCTATTTTTTGTAGTATAAAATACTACATTTCTTTAGTTTTTGATTCAGAAAAAAATTATTTATAAATAATACTTATATATTAATATAACTTAAATGATGCATGTGCATTTCGTTTGTACCTTTCTTCATTCCTTCCACTTACTTCCCTTTCCTCTCTCCCTTTATGGATGACAAAAATATTTTATTATTTTTATCTTCTTATAGATTAAACCAGAAGTTTGCCAGAAATTTCAAGATGATACTGTTAAAGAAGAAAAGAGCCCCTACAATTTTTCTTATAAAGTTTATCCTTCTATTAAAAACAAATTACCACATAAAAAAGAAAAGGATACAAATTGTATTGGTTTTAATCAGGATAATGAAAATAATTATAATGATAAAGAAAATACATACATTATTTCAACAAACAAGAAAAATGACTTAAATATTAGTGCTTATATGCCTAATCCTATACCTACCTATTATAATCAGAAGTTATCAAAAGCTTATTTATTTGAAATAGATTCAGCAAATTACTCCGATAAGGACAACATATCAAAATCTCTAATAAATTCAGATATGAGTATTATTTATAATGGTAATGTAACAATGCCTCATTCCGAAAACAACAAGGAAAACGTCATTTATCTTAATAATGATGGAAGATGTAAAAGATACGGTGAAAATAATGTTAGAGCGATTTTTAAAGACTCTGCAAACAATGATATTAGCGATCTTAAAAAAATTATTTTTATATTCTACGCCGGTTTAAATAATTTAAATACTTATGTTCAAAATAAATTGATCAATGCAGATTATACGTTAAATGAAGACGCAACTCCTTCTGATGATGTGGAAAATGATTATTCAAATATGGTCAATATTGAAAAAGATATAGACCAAAGATTGGGTAAAATATATAAAATTTATTTCTACATTAGACATAATTATATATAAACTTAATATGTATTCTCTACTAATATATAACACATTTTAAACATGCTTCCAATTATATCTACATTTTTTTGTTTAACACTTTTTAACTTTTACCCTCTTTGTTTAAATCTTTTCCCTTTATTTTTATCAGAGACCTGAAGGCTCGGCACGGAAAGCCTGTCTGGTCTGGAGGCCAAAATAAAATATTTTGGCTTAAAAATTTTAAAATCGGGTCTAGCGTAAATTTATATTAAATCAATTAATTAGTTGGAAAATTATATAATGGAACATTTAATATTTATTCATTTAGTAATCATATCTTTTTAAATTCTCATTTAAAACAATTTGCAAAATACAGGTAAAAATTATTAAAATTAACATCATTATAACTTCCGGTGGGGGGTGGGGTGTAAAAATATCAATCCGGGTCATACCAAAAAACTTTTATAAGGGGTTTGATAATTTTGAACTCTGCAGTTCTCCCGTTTTTATTGAATCTTTCCCATTTTTAAATTGTAAGCCCTTGTATTAAAATAATAATAATAATTAAATAAAATTATATTTACATTATTCATATATTTTAGAGACTTTAAAACAATTCATAATTAAACATGAGAGTCAGAAAAATATCCTAAAAGATCAAATCGAAACTTATAAACACGAGTTCGATCGAACAATTTACGACAATAAAATCAAAGAACTGCATTTAAAAAGTCGTATAGCCGAGCTCGAAAAAGATAATGAGTGTTTACAGCTGCATTTAAAAAATATTGGTGGCGGTAATGAAACTCTGAAGGGTATTTCACATTATTCTACAAAGAATTCCAAAAAGGTCACATTCGCTCTTGACTCCGCCTCTAATCCAATCGATTCAGATCCGGAGCTTAATTGTAGGATGGAGGTAGACGTTTATAACAATGATAATACTCATGGGAAGTTACAAGCAAATATAAAAGATTTATATTTCGAAATATTCGATAAAGATCGCAAGTGTAGAAAAAAATTTCAAAGCCAAAAGCCTGATACTATTGCGAAAGATATCGATATTGATTACCAAAATTTTTTTGATGCTTTTTCTAATTGTAAAAGAGAAGTTAGTCATTATAACTTTCAATATTCAACTAAAATAATTTATATTATTTATTCCAATAGAATCATGAAATGACCAGAAGATTATACTTATTGGAATATAAATTCTCTGAAATAACAAACAAATATAATGAATTGAAAGAACAGTACAAAATCGTTTCAGAAAACTATTTGATCAATGCCTCTGAAGTAAAAAAAAATTTAAATTAGTAAATAGTAGAATATTAAGATAAGATTTACACAAAAAATTTTAATATACTAGTTTTTAAATTAGTAACAGTAGAATCATATGAGTATCCAGAATTTTCCTATAAAGGAAAGGCACTATTAGGGGAGAGTTTCTGCCTTATATTTTATTATGAGTCTTTAGATTCACTTATTACAGATCTTGGCTTATAAAAATAATTTTATGGTTACATTATTTTTATAAAAATGCTATTTTTCTAAAATAATTTAATTTATAGTTCGTTATTTAAAATTTTACTTTTACTTTTACTTATTTTTATTTCAAATTATTGTTTATAAAGTGATATATTATATACATGGGGGGGGGGGATGTTAATGAGATAATTTATTAGCTTAATATGATATTTAAGAGAACAACAGACAAATTTTCAATGGGGTTTAAAATTTCCCACTCTCCCACCCCTTGGATACGCCTATAAGTAGAATATTGCCCATTCACTCACATTAACTCGAATTCGCGTCGAAGAATACAAAATAAGATATAAATATAATAATTTTACATTCATTTTTTTATACTTCACCCGAATTCGCGCTAACCGTGAATGCCTGATAATATTTAATTTTAATATATATATTTTTTTAAATTATCAAATTAGGATAATAACAATTTAATATTTTAAGATTATTCCTAATATATTCAATTATAATTTTATACTTTAGTTAGAAAAACAAAAGGCTATTTCAGACGATTGTTTAATACTAATTGATGAGAAAACTCTTTTGAATGGAAAGTTAGAAGATTTAAAGAAAAAAAATGAAGACTTAATAAAAAAATTAAAAACGCAAGAGAACGAATGGAATGAAACAAAGGTGTTCTTACTAAAAAAAAGCATTAATATATTATATTTTATAAGAGAGCAAATAATAGAATCAAAGGCATATAACTTATTTTTGCTCAAAATTTTATTCATTTTAAATAATTTTTTCAAAAAATTTATTAATATTAAATTATATTGAAGGAAAAATTACATGAAAATCAAAAGCAACGAGAAAATTACCTCCATGGAATTCGCATGAATCTAGAAGCTGAGATTCAAAAGCTTAAAGGTATTTGCAATGAATACAAAGAGAAAACCATAGATTTGTTTGGAAAAATTAATGAGGTGTAAATCATATATATTTCCCATTTATAATTTTTAAAAGATTTCAAATATGCTGAAATCGGCTCAGAATAAATTTAACCAAATGAATTTGTATTATCAAGATGACAGAAAATCATGGCAGAATAATTCTGATACTATGATGTCGGAAATAAAAATTTCGTATGAAAAAATTTTGGAATTTGAGCAGCAGATATGTTTTATTCGAGTGCAAAATCAAAATATAACTCAGAATCTAAAGGCAAAAAATGAAGAAGTTCAAGAGCTCCAAGAACTACTAAAAGATAAAGAAAGAGAAATTGAGGGGCTGTTAATAATTAAAAATAATTGGTTAGAACTTAATAAAGATGCGTCTAATTATTCTACAACTTTTAAAAAATATCTAAATTACAAAAGTTTTATAAGAAACAGTATACGTAGATCCTTTAGCTTACCAAATATCCATGATTATGCAAATCATCAGATTATAAAAATCAATAGAAGTCTATCTCTTTCGGGGTGCACTAATTATTTAGAGAAAAGTATATTTTTTCAAAATAAATTTAATTATGGTTATCCGTTTAGAAATAAAGATGACAAATCATCTAGCATATGCGCTAAAGCAATACAAGACTGTGAACAAAAATATGCAAAATAAAATTATAAATTTGGAACATTTGCTTACTATGGCTGAAAATTACCAAAATGATATCAATTCTACTCATTTAACTCAAGATATTGAAAGTATAAGCATTTCGTCATATATACATAAATTTAAATAGAATATACTAATTATTCAACGAAAATTTAAGTTGCCTAGAAACAATTATAAAATAGTTATATATTTTTTGATAGTAAAATAACAAGTAAGTGTATCTAGAAAAAATAATTTAAACTCTTTTTATACTCAATGGTTCGTTTCGAACCATATTTATTTGAATTAAATATGTCATAATCAAAATCTTCTAGTGCTGTAAACAAACGTCGATTATCTTTTTGAGGAAAAGGAACGCCATTCATTACTTGTTTCAAAAGGTTTTTTTCTGAGTAACGATAACGGCCGTTACTGTAGTTGATTTCGAAGTTTTTCTTTTGAGATGTATAAAAATTATCCTTAGCTAACTTAATATTCTTGTACAAATACAATTAGGTTTATCTGTAATTGATATATGGTTTTTTTTTTACATATTTACTAAAATAGTTTCTTAAAAGATATTTTATAATTTTTATAAGATTATATATTTTTTTAAATGTTATAAATAATATAATAGCTATTTTTTAATTCAGATCAACGACCAAAGTTCTTCATTTTTATTTTATTTTACATTTATTGTTAAATTTTATATAGTCAAGATTGTTAATCTTATTAATATTGAATGAATCAATAATTTATTTTATATAGAATATATGTCAATAGCACTTATTTCCTCATGGTGGAGATCATTTAACTCTGTCCTGGCCCCAGTATGAAACATTTTTTTACCCAAATAGAAGAAATCGATTTAGTATCTAAGTAACGAGTAACGGGTTAACATTTTCAACGAGTAACGCGTTAATTTTTTGAATAGCGAGTAACGCGGTTATTTTTTCACAAGGTAATACGCTGACGCATTTCTTTTTTCGTTTCTTTTTTAAAGTAGCATTATAATTTTCTAAAATTGACTTAATTTCTATTGTTTCAAATTCCTCACATAGGTGCCAAAATGATAATGAGGTTGGATCTATATATTAGTGAATACACGCAATGCATGAATTGTTTTTATATAACTAGTCAGGATATGGATTTATTCAAATAAAATGTTTTGGATATAAACTTAAGTTTAATTTATTTTATAAGTAGAATATTATTTAAAAAATAGTATATAATAAATAATTCACAAGAAGTTTTAAATAATTTTATATGATTTAGATATAAAATCTGATTGTGAAAAAGAAAAAATATCCAACAATTATCTTACACACTTATTAGATACTGAACGAAATAGATGGAAAATTGAAAAACAAAGCTATAACATTACCATTAAGCAAGTAAAGTGATATTCTTTAGTATATTACAAGATTTTAAACACTAATATATTATTTTTATAAAATTTTCATATAAAGTTATAACTTCAATAAAATTAAAATGGAGAAAAAAATGAGATATTAAATTTGGATCTAAAAAACACTAGGTAGCAATGACGCCTATAACCGGGATATGGTATCAGGAGCTACCTCTTTAGTAAAATTGTCCAAATTTTTTACTTAGTTTCATCATTCTTGGGAGTAATAAAGTTTTTAGTTTTCCAAATTTCAATTCTAATTTTAGTTTATACATGTATAATATCAATAAGTTTTGCATTCATAATAATAGAAAAATATTTTAATTAAATAGTTTTACCGAATAATTTTACAAATGTACATTTTTAATTTTTGTTATATAAGCGATATGACTGGAAACCATTGTTTAGCACATATTAGAACTGATAGAAATATTCAGGCATCTACTTTGAAGAAATAATATTATTAAACTTTTTGTCATGAATTAAATTTAGCATTGTTGGGAGATAGGGAAGACCTGGGTAAGTTGGGACATTTTTTATAAAAATAACGCATAACGTTACTCGTTACAATTAATATTTACTTAAAAAATATGGGAAAAATATTTTTTATTTAAATTATATTTTTTTAAATTTTATAAATAACTTAAGTCGAGTTTTTAATTCAGATCAACCATCAAATCCTTCTTTTATATTATATTTATTATATTTTTATTGTTGAATTTCATAAAGTCAAGATTGTTAATCTAAAATTAATATTGAATCACCATTAAGATTATAGGGAAGGTAAAATTAGGGCGTCGCTTGTCGAATAATACAATTATTCGATTCAAAAATTGAATACAAGATTAAATGGTTTAAGTTTCAAAATGATCTATATATTTGATGAATGCTTTAAGTATGGTGCAAACTATAGATAATCTATAGTTTTGGGAATCTTCGAGCTATGATATAGGTGAATTAACACCCTCCTTTCGCACTTTCTGAAATCCCCATTCTCTACATAAAACATTTGATTTATTTTTATTATAATATTTCAATTATTTAATGAATATTTTTATTTCGAATTTTTATAAATGGCTACTGATTATCCGTAATATTATATATCTGAAGGGTTAGAGTTAAAGGTGTCGTATTTGGCGTGGAATTCACTATATATAAAAACCAAAAATGCACACATTAATTTTATATTAATAGATTACGTAACATTATTTATTAATATATGTGTATTATACATAAAATTAATTAATATTCGAATTATATAATCTTTATTAGATGTGTAACTTCTTAATAATTGCATTAAATATTTTACAGTTGGAAGAAAAAGTTGATAGCCTCAAGGTAGAATTTATTGATTCAAATAGGCGAAACAGTGCAGCCGAAAAAATAAAATTGATTGAAAAAAGATCTAACATTGAATTATCTTGGAATGTAGAACGCAAAGAATTTAAAAAGCAATTAGATTTGGCAAATGAAAATATAAAAAACTTGCATCATGAAGTTTTTTTTCAAAATATATGCAAATATATATATAATCATCATGATAGATATATAATATGCAACAAGGATATGATAAGCAACGATATCGGCTTTTTGAACAGATAGATGAAGAAAAGGGAATGCGACACAAAGAACGAGAAGAATTAATTAGAAATCTATATCAAGTTAATCTATTCACATTATCCTTTATATATCCAAGTTAATCATAGTCTTTTAGTTTCACTTTTGAAAAATTATTTTTTAATTCGAAAAGTCTTATTTATTATGTATGGGATATTGATTTTAAAAAAAACTATTTTACAGATAAGCGTTCATATGGATTTTTAGTTTTCCTAAGCTCTAATTGGCTTGAATGATTTATATCAATAAAACTGATTTTTACATTTATGTCATGTAGCATCAAGAACAATTATCCCAAGTTCAATCAATGTCTGAAGTATCTATGTATTTGCTTAAAAGCGAAATTGACAAATTAAAAGAAAAAAACGAATCTCTGCAAAAAATTGTGCAGGAGACACGAAGAAGACGAAAAAAAGCTAAATCAAAACTTGAATTATTTTTAAAAGATGTATGCGTTTAATAATTTATATTGACTTGTATCTAATTTATATCATAAGATCCAAATTTTCCGTCATTCGCGATCTGAAACAAACCTAAAAGAAGAAACAAATGAAAAATCAATAAAAAATGATGTTTTAATTCGACACCCAATTTGGGATAAAAATAATAATGATATGGAATTAACTCTTAGTCAAGTTATAATATATTTCGTACAAATAAATAATAAATTTAAATTTATTTCTCAAAGTTAATGTTGGTTGTTAAAGTTATATACATCACACTTGCATTTTTTAAAAGAATAACTGGGTTTTAAAGATTAACTACCAGCCTAACCTTTACTCATTAATTAAATATTTTTTCAATCAAATTATTTCTTTTACTTGAAAACGTTTTGGGACTTTAATTTACATTGATTTTGAGACATTTATAATACTTATTATATCTTCATATTTTTAGATATCTGAAATGACAAAACAAATTTTGTTATACAATAAGTTACTATCAAAGTATGTATAATATTATATTAAATTAATAATAATTAAAAAAATTTAATGACATTTTATATTTTAGACAAAAAGAAAATTCAAAGAAAGATTTTTTATCTGCATCCTATGAACAGTCTCCTACATCATTAACAGATATAAGTATAACATCTCACTCTTTATCGCTTAGGGATGCCAGAGTTTTATCCCTTTCAAGATTAGGAAACAAATTTTCACAATCACCAACAAATACTATAAGCTCTTCCTGTAATGATAGCTTCGATAAAACTAGTTTGCCCCCAGATTTTTTGTCGAGACTTAAAATAAAGTCTAAATCATTTTTTAAATCAGACTTAAATATAACCTCAAAGAAACCTGTATTGTTTAATTCTTCTTTAATCTCGCCAAATCAGAATTTAAATCCAAAAATAGATGAAAGTCCCAATCTCACATTACCCAAAGATATAAAGTTTGCAAATCAATCGATTACAAATGCTAAAATAAGTTTAACAAATAAACAACCTCTAATAAAGGATAAAATCAAAATGTTTTCAAATTCTAATATGTATTTAAATCAAAGAAAAAACGCCCCTGCTCCAGTATGTTTCTCAAATAACTCTTCATTTTCATTTAATAAATCTAAAACACCTGTCCAATCTCTAAATTTAGCTGCGAAAGCTTCTGCTTTAAAAAATTCAAGCAAATCTCTAAATTTATTCAAAAAATTTGAGGGGCCCAATTACAATCTTACAAAATCCTTCAGACCCAAGATTCAAACAAACTCATACAATAAAATGTCATTAAGTAAACCCATAGCGATTGTCGAAGGCCAGAAACACGAATTACCTATTTACAAAAAATAATTTCCTTTTTATATTTTTGATTTTTAAGATCAATTATAAAATTGGTTGGCTTATTTACATACAAATTATATTATATAATAAATAATACTATATATTTATTATTATGTATACTTCAATTTATCATTAATATTTGATTATTTATTTATACACGCAATACAATGTTTGTTTTGAGTTTTATCATAAAACCAATTTGTAAAATAAACATAATATAAGATTTCTGAGATAATTCTTTCCGATGTTTTGATTTTTGTATATTGAACAAGATGCCATTTATAAATAAATATATAATTAGCGAAAATGGAATAATCAAATATCTTATGTATTTATGACAGAATCATAGCCAGCTTATATATAAAATATATATATATAAACCTTTCCTGATATTTTATTATTTAGTATTAGAGTAATTTCCTTGTAGCCCATTCCTAGATAATCTATCAATCTCGGGCATAATTTATTTTTCGCCTCTTACATCAGCAATATGAACATTATTTATAAAATTCAATATAGTATCGCCTGTCTATAATTGGAGTGCTTCATGTGCAAAATTGTTGAAACTGGGTAAAACGATCATATAAGAAAAGCTTATAGATTATATAAGTAAAAATTTTCAGTAAATATTCAAATAAAGTAACCCATGACCGGAAAAAAAAATTTATAATACTAGTTCAAATGATAGCTTAAAGAAAATTTTACTCAGAATTTTTTGTGAGCAAATTATTGAATAAAACCAAATGCAAGTGAAATTAAATTAACACTATAAAAAAATTTTGTTCAAAATTCTCCTTTTAAATTTTATTTATGAGAATTTATTAACTAAAAGTAAAATAACTCAAGGTAACTACTATAAATCATCAAATTATATAATATAGACCTAATCTTTATTTAATCCTAATTTATTCATAGAAATAATAATTTATCTGAATAAAAAATTAGTTACGCTACAGGTGATTATAAAATATGTTAATATCATAGATAGTTCATATATAAAAAATTATGAAGATATCTCAAATGTGCTAGTGCTAACGTCAAAATTAATATTTTTAAATCTAGTTTCTTCTAAATAGCGCTCATCTCGACACCGTGTCACTATTAGTGATGCTATATTGCTAGTTTGAGCCGATTTTTAAAACGACCAACTTAATATATTAGACAGAAAAAATATTGCCTATACTTCGAGATTTCGTTAATGTCATCAATGAAACTTCAGGCTTAAATTAAGTGATTCTGATTTTGTAAATTATAATAAAGTAAAAACTATGAAACAAAAAATGGAATCAAAAAATCCACACCTCCTTATCCAGCCAAAGGGCAGGCCATGGATGCCGAAGGTGTCCGCAAATTTTTTCTACCTCAATTTTAAATTTTTGACCAAGCAACTCTTGGCCCTGTTTGTTTCAAGTGACTTTATGGTAAGCGCTATACGGTTACTAATATCGCTTATTGAATTCTTAAAGCCATTGTGTTTGGATAGATTGTTCGTATTTTTTTTTATCGTTCGTACGTTAGATTTTAGCACACCTAGTGATAAGCTGTTTAATTTAACTAGTCTGGAAAAACAAATAGTTTTTTAAAAACAATAAAATCATTGTCCCTCGTAATTACCAAATCTTTACAGTGTTTGAATAGATTTTCTACTGTCCCATCGAAGAGCTAATGCTTTATAAGAAATCAAATGTAAACTATGGATCTCAATATTTTCAAATAGCTATAGACTGGGGAAGGGTTGAACCCCTCCCAGAACAGAAAAATACAGATTATATGTTTAAAAGTTTCAAAAATTATTTAGTATTTCAATAAATATCTCAATAAAATTCTATTTTTAATATTAAGTTTGTTGAATATGAATATAAAGTTGTTTGTTGTTTATATTTCTGCAAAGATATCATTATTAAATATTTATATCAATTATTTAATATTAATATACTAATACTACCTTAAAAAAATGGGAAAAGGTTAAGATAGGCTTTCTTAAAGCACTAAGGGTACAGTTGAAAACTATTATTGGATGGATAGATAAAAATGCTTTTAATACTGCTAAATATTTGTGTTAATCAATTTAACAAACCCTATTCATTATTTCATTAGTTTTAATGAAGTATATTTTTTAATTACTCATTTAACAAAAATCTAAATATTGTTGAAGTAATGAATGATGCCAAAAGGCTTCTTAGATCATTTAATTAAACTGAATCAAAAATGGATATTTTACAAGTCAACTTTAATCATTTATCAGACTAAATTCTAAAATTGATAAACTTAGGCTTAGCAATGATACTTCTTTAGAATCAATAAGTAATCTTTATTAAAAATAATTATCAATTATAATTTAAGTCATATTTGTCATCAATTCCTTGTCAACAGTTGACAGGCACCAATGAGGCCTAATATGATGATCCAAGCAATATATTTCCATCAGAGTCTCCCAGCAATCTTATTAACGAAATTTATTTCAATATGCATTAAATCTAAGAACTAATATTAAAACATTTAGTAATACTATACAACTTTTATAAATATTGTAGAAATGAAAAATTATTTTCTATTTTGACTATCCATAAAAGCAGCTATTTAAAGACATGTTAACTCTTAAATATATATAGAAATATAAATCCTATTTCAGTGAAATCATAAAAGAAATAAATAAAGGTCCACTTACGATAAAATATGTATATCAGAGACCAGCAAGGTACCTTTTGCTTGGTCCTGATTTTTTTCAGGACAGGCCGGGGTTTTTTCAGGACCGGATACGGCATATATACATTTTTTATAAGTCCAAATTAGAATATAAACGAAATACAAAAAGTAAAATAATATTAATATAAACGAAATACAAAAAGTAAAATAATATTAAAAAAGTAAGGTTACGCCGTTTATAAAATAAAATTAGATTATAACAAATAACAAAAATTAGATTATAGTAAATAATAAAAATTCAAAAACAAAAAGAATTCAAAAACAAAAAGTATATAACGCAACATTCTCCCTCTTCTGATAATTTCATCGGAGAAGTCATAGAGAGTTTGTTGTCCAAGTGGTTTATCATTTTGGTAATAAAGTTGTATCACAAATCATCGTAACGTTGGCTTGTCCCAATCGTTGGTTTGATCAATTCGATTTTGCACGTTGGTTTGTTTAATCCCAAGCTTGATATCCATATCGTAATTTGTCTCCATTAATCATAGCTTGTTTGATAGTACTCAATTGTTATTATCATTTTTCCGAAATTGTTATTATCATAAATAAGTTGCGAATAAGAAATAATAGTTCATCATAAGAATAAATGAAGAATGATAAATCAATAAGATTGTTATATTTTTAGCGTTTTAATTTTTTGCGTTTTAATATAAGCGTTTTAATATTTAATTTAGTTTATGCAATTTAACATTTATTTTATATTTTAAGTTACATAGTCTTTTAAATAAGCAGGTTTTTTTTTAATTCGCACAGGTCTAGAGATAGGTGTTATATCTTAATTTTTATATTTTTGTCCATACTTCCCTCCTTAAAAGAATCCTTAGAGTCATAGTTTATAATTGTGTTAAAACAGTTTCTAATTCTTATTTGATCTAAATGTCTCCTCAAAATACCTTTCTCAGTCTTAATTTGGAACATCATATCACTTTCTTTATGTGTGATTATACCTTTTCACCATTTATCATCACCTTGTACTTTATACCAAACAAAATCTCCTACGTTAAAAGTTCTATTTCGTGGTAAAGTAACTTTTATTTTATTCTCCTTCTCCTCCATCTGTTTTAATAAGTCCCATTTAATTCTAATATCTCGATTAAACATTCTCTGTGATGGTGTAACTCCTGTAGTATCATTACGCGTATTTCTGTAATTAAGTAAAAATTTGCTAAGTGCGATATCTGGGTCTATTTTAATATTCCTTTTCATATGTGTTTTGAACGTTCTAACCATGCGTTCAACCTGGCCATTGGATTGCTGGTGATAAGCAGATGTAAGCACATGTTTAATACCAAAATTGTTGCAAAATTTTTCAAAATCGTTACTCGTAAAGTTAGTGCCGTTATCAGTAACTATAGTTTCAGGTATTCCGTATAGCGAAATAGTTTTAAAGATTTCTTTTAAAGTAACATTAGTCGTAATATTTTTAACAGGAATAATAATTGGAAATTTGCTGTAGGCATCGACTATTATCAACCAATTTTTTGTGAAAAACGGACCCGCATAATCTATATGTATCCTTTCAAACGGTTTGGTTGCCGAAACCCATGGTTTTTGTATCTTTATAGGATTATCGTGATATATATTACAATCGTCACAACTTTTCACTTCCATAACGATATCATTATTTATGCCAGGCCACCACATGTAATCTTTGGCTAAGGATTTGATTTTTCCTGCTCCCAATTGACCTTCAGTTTTTCTCATAGAAGACGGAATTATGATTTTATTGCTTTTGTAAAGACAATCTTTAATTATACTTAATTCCAATTCAATGTTTTTATAATATTATTCATTATAGGTCTGTTGTTATTAATATCATTTATGACTTGTTTTAATTCCGTATCTTTCAAAGTTTCATCACGAATTTGATCAAAGTTAATAGGTAAATCCTCATATTCATTTATAATGGTTACATTTTCAATAGTTTCATCACGACATTCTTGTGGTAATCTCGAAAGGCAATCAAGAACAACATTATATTTACCGGCTTTATACTTTATATTAAAATCATATCCTCCTAATGTAATATTCCACTTCTGGAGTCTTAACGACATGGTGCTATTATCCTTAAGACCCTTGGTGAAGATGTGAACTAGAGGCTTATGGTCAGTAATAATTGTAAATTTTGTGCCGATTAAATATTCCTGAAATCTCTTTATAGCGAACATTATAGCGAGAGCCTCACGCTCAATATTGGTATAGTTCATTTCAGACTTTAATAAAGTTCTCGACGCGAAAGCTATAGGTTTTTCTTTACCATCTTTTTCAATATGTAATAGTACAGCTCCTAAACCACATTTTGATGCGTCAGTGGCTATCCCTATAGGTAATTCAGGGTTAAAATATGTCAAAGCAGGTGGAAGACTAATTAACTTCTTTAGATCATTAAAACTTTTAGAGTGTTCTAGGTTCCAAGCCCATTTTTCTTTGTTGACAATCTTATAAAGAGAATCGGCAATTTCCGCAAAATTATTCAAAAATTTTCTATAGTAGCCAGCCATTCCCAGAAATGTTGATAATTCAGCAGCTGATTTTGGTTCTGGCATATTAATTATTGCTTCAATTTTGTCGTGATTAGCATGAATCCCCTTAGCGTCAATATCATGACCCAGGAACCTCACTTTGTTTTTAAAGAACACACTTTTATTAAAGTTAGGTATTAACCCAAACGATGATATTCTATCAAACTTTTTATGTTGTTTAGGTGGGCTTCATCGTTTTTTCCAGTTATAAGTAAATCATCAATATAAAATGTAACGTCATCCATGTCACCGAAGATTTGATCCATAATCTGTTGAAAAATTGCAGATGAGGTCTTAAGCCCAAAAGGAAGTCTAGTAAATTGGTAATATCCCTTATGCGTAGATATGGTTAAAATATTTCTGCAACTTTTATCAATTGGAATCTGTAAAAAAGCATTTTTAAAGTCAATCTTCGTAAATTTCTTTCCTTCCGAAAGTTTAGCAATTATATCATTAATTCGTGGTAGAGGGTATCTAAAGTCTTCTAGAGCTGGGTTTACAGTATCCTTAAAATCAGCGCAAAGCCTAATGCTCCCATCATCTTTGTAGACAGCGGTAACAGGACTTGCCCATCGAACATCATTCACCGGCTCAATAATTTTATCATGTATCCATTTTTTATGTTCATTACTAACAAGATTAATTTTTGAATAAGGAATGCGTCTAGGCGGTATAATTTTAGGTTGGGCATCACTTCTTAAATGTAACTTGACACTTGCTTTGTTGATTGGCCCATTAGTTAATTTCGATTCACACTCTTTAATCAATTTTTTTATTTCATCTTCATAATTAGTGTCAATATTTGCTATAAATTTATTTAAAATATTTTTGAAAGCATTGATCCACGTACGTCCCAACAAGGCATTTTTACTTGATTCAACCACTACCACTTGTAAATATTTGGAAATACCATCATAAGTCACTTTAACTTGAGTAGTACCTATGATTTTGATTAAATTCCCATCATAAGCAGTGAGTTGTAGCTCGGATTTCTTAAGATCTCTAATACCAAGTTTTTTAGCCAGACCATGAGGTATAATAGTGTATTTGGATCCAGTGTCCACTTGCATACAAGTAACAACGTCGTTCACTTTTAAAGTAGTCATAAAAGCGTTATCTATGTCATTAATCACGTCACCAGATAAATTGTTGACATTAAAATCATTATCATCTTTGTTCTTTGTAGAATCAACTTTCTCTTCAATAATTTCTTCAATATTCATGTTGTAATCATTATTGTATTGTATTTGCTTTCTATTATTTTCGTCGCCACTTCTATAATTATTTGAGTTGTTATTATATTGTATTTGCTTTCTCTGATTATTATCATTACCTCTATAATTATTTGAGTTGTTGTTATATTGTATTTGCTTTCTCTGATTATTATCATTACCTCTATAATTATTTGAGTTGTTGTAATAAGATTGGTAATTGTTACGATTTCCGTCACCGTATTGGATTTGTTTTCTTTGATTATTATCATACCATGTATTATTTCTACCATAATTCGATTGATTATTATTATTATAGCGATAATTGTTATAGTTATAATTGTTATAATTATCGTGGTATCGCGAATTATTATTACCATAATTGTATCTAAAATTATTATTGTAATTCCCATTTCTATATCTATTATCATAATTATTTCTAAAATTATTTCTAAAATTATTATCATTTCTACTGCAAAAATTTTTATCTTTATCAGACTTTTTATCATTATTTATATAACTTATATCATTATCCTCAGACTTAATATTACTAGAGTCCAGTTTCACCCCTAATTCTACCATCTGATTCAATGTAAGGTCAAAATTTTTGGAAAATTTGTATTTAATTTTATCGTTTAAAGTAGATGTCCGTAATTTCTCTTTTAATCTACTATCGTCCAAAAAATTACATTTCTTATGAAGTTTCGATACTCTAATGTACCACAGCATAAAACTCTCTGATGAGTTTTGTTGAAGAAGATTAAATTTATTAATTAAAGTATTTAAATTTAGCGCTGGTAAAAGATAGGTTAACTTTTTAATCACAATTTTAAGATCTAAAATATCGGTATCAGAACAAATTGCCTTAATGTCGTCAAAAACTTCGTCTGATAAATTATTAAGCAAAGTATTAATTTTAATAGAGTCCGATAATGTACTGGTCGAAAAGTAATTTAATATTCTGTCTAAATAAATTTCAGTAAGAGGACCCACTAACTTAGGGATCTTATGTGTAAATTCTTGTTTAATTTCCATATTTAATTAATAAGACACATAAATAAGCAATTATAACATTTATTATTTTATTAATTCAAGTTTTGGTATAACTATTTATGTTTTAACGAATATACAAATTAATTCAATGAAATCACTATCGCCGTAAATATAGTGTTTCCCGTTTAATAATTCAAAGCAATTTATCATGTCTCTTAAATTCATAAATTCAAACAGTACATCCTCCGTACCGTTTATCCTATAAAAGTTGACATCGGAATTATAAGTTAACTCAAATAAAATATCGTAGATGGAAATTTGATGGGGTACATTTAGTAGTTTGAAGGTGAACATAATTGATGAAAATAATTTTGAAATGACTTACCCTTTTTTTATCCATCTTATATAGAATTGTTTGTACCATTTTATAATTTTTTTTATTAACCATATTTACAAAGAGAAAAAAATTTTATTTTTAAAAAAAAATTTCCATGAGGCGAGTTTCTTTTGCCAAAACTGGGGCACCATGTAGAGTAACATGAATTATGTGCCGGTAAATAATAAATATGTTTTATTAACTTTATTAAATATATTAATACTATTTTTTCCATTTCACACTTCTATTATATACATTTTTTATAAGTCCAAATTAGAATATAAACGAAATACAAAAAGTAAAATAATATTTAAAAAGTAAGGTTACGCCGTTTATAAAATAAAATTAGATTATAACAAATAACAAAAATTAGATTATAGTAAATAATAAAAATTAGATTATAAAAAATTCAAAAACAAAAAGAATTCAAAAACAAAAAGAATTCAAAAACAAAAAGTATATAACGCAACACTTATATATCCTTTTTCTTTAATCAACATTTGCATAGTCTCAATTTGTACCGAGATTTAATTCTTGTAAATTTGAATATCTTTGGGCTTCGTAATTTTGTTTAAAAGTAATTTGCCTGTCTGGCGTTTTTCTTAATCTAGTAAATTTGCATGTTACCACAATTACAACAAAGCAAACATATATTTATAAGTTGTTTTTATAAATAGCAAACATAATTTGTTTGAAAGATATCAAAAAAACATTTATGCTCATATTTATTGTACTAAATAATATAACCTTAATCAATTATCATAGTTTGAAATAAATGTTTGATTTTTGTTTAATTTTTTTTTATAATGTAACTCCGTTATTATATTTCAATATTAAAAAAAATACAATAAGATTGATTATAAATATTTAAAATATACAATATTGATGTTTAAAAAAAATAAACATTTTTTATATACAAAAAAACAAATCTAAAATTATAAAAGTTAAAGAAGAAAAAGAAGAAAAATAGCGTAAAACGAGAAGAATAAGAGCGGAAGAGTATGTCTAGACTGCCATTGAAGCTTGGATATCTATGGCCAGCCACTGTTAGAGAAAGAAGCCTTCTCGAGGATAGCCAGTAAGCTTGTAGGATAATCCAGCATAAAATGGATAAGGATTATTGGAATAAAGATATGATCTTAAAATTTCCGAAAGAAATTTTAAGGTGTTTTTCTCTTTGCTCGAGTTGGCTTAAAGTTTTGTTGGATATGGCTAATGGATCATACAAGAATAGTCTTAAAAGAGAAATTGGCCCTCTTTTCCGTGGGATCATGGTGAATCTAAGGCCGTCCATCGGATCTAAAAGGACCTGGTGGTTAAAGTATTCCAAGTTTTTGGGCAGATTTTAAGGATTAAGAATTGCATTGGTTATTGAGGATTCGGCTTTTACATGATCTGCTTAAACTGTGCCTTCCTTTGCTGTCTATATGAGTTCTGCAGAGCATGTGAGAAAATTTTATCGTACAATTAAGGCTGGTTCCAATAGTAAGCTCATTGTTGGTGAGTTGAAGATAAAGATTTTTAGAAGAGATAATTTCCAAAAATTCGGGTCCGGATAATTAAAGAAGTGAAGAGAAAACGGTAGATTGATAGCATGCTAGTGATTTAACGCCACGAATTACAATTGGTTTATCCCAATCCTTCTGACCATTGGATTTAGGGGATGGGACATAAACAACACGTGCCTTCCATAACAAATAGTATCATCTAAGGAAAATTGAGTTTTTGAGTGGAAAATGATTGTGGGTTTAGAAAATTTTCTCAAAATAAAGGCAGTGAGAGCAAGATCGGTGGGAAATGTAATTCTCAAGCCAACACCTTTGGTGGTGTTGAAGCTTAAGCCCATGCTGTTTCGTTGAATTTTATGGTTCAAGATATTTTCAGTTAGATCTTTTATTCCCTTTTTATAAATGCTAAAAGGTATAGAAAATTTTAAAATAGGCACTGAGCGCAGAGCATAAAGAATGGAATATTAAATAAGTTTTTTTAGGAGGAAGAATGATTTATGATAGGGTAGGAAATCAAGAAACCAAGCTTAAAGAGGATATCAAGACTAGAGTGGAGGAAGGCATTGATTGCAGTGAATCCACCAATTAGTGTTGTTAAATGGCTTGTTTTGAGCCGATTTTTAAAAACAGCTAACTCAATACTTCACTTAGAAAAAAATCACGCAAGCCTGAAGATTTTGCTCATAGAAGGAACAAAGGTCCATATATATATTATAGAAATCTCAAGGCTTAGGCTATATTTTTCTGGCTAAAATATTGAGTTAGCCTTTAAAAATCGGCTCAAAACGAGCCGTTTAACAACACTACCACCAATTGATCGAATGAGTTTACTTCACAAATTTATATTTTGTGGAGCATCCCATTTTCTTGATAACGTATATGGTCTTATTG